ATTATTATTTTTATTATTATTATTATTATTATTTTTATTATTTTTATTTTTATTTATATTTTTATTTTTATTTTTATTTATATTTAAATTTTCTTTTATTCTTTTTATTTATATATATTTTTATTTTTTTATTTTATTTTTTTAATCTTTTTTTTTAATAAATATATCCTTTATTATTTTTCATTATTAATTTTTATTTTTTATATATCTTTAAATTTTATTTTTAAATATTTAATTTTTATAATTACTACTAAAATTAAATTATTTATTTTAGAACAAAATTAATTTAAATTTGATTTTTTTTTTTCCTTTATTTTATTTTATTTTAATCTATTTATTATAATTAAATTATTTATATATTTTAGAAAATTTTATTTTAATATTAATTATTATTATTTTTATTAATTATTGTATCTTTAAGTTTTTTATAAGAATATTACAATATTAAAAATTAATCTGGCCCTCCATTAAATATTTTTGTTAAAATTTTTCTTCTAATTATATATACATGATTTAAATCTTAAGCTTATAAATCACTTTTTTTTAAATGTATATATCTAATAATTTCATACTTTAATAAAGGATAATTGATTTCATTATGATTGAATTCACATTAGCTACTATATCTAATATTAAAAATTTATTAATTGTTGTAATTATAAGAATTTTTTATACCATAAAAACTCATAATTATAAGAAAAAGTATAATTACATTTTAATAATCTTCTTAACTTTTATATATTTTTCAAATATTTTAGTTCTTTTTGCTAAAAATATATTTATTATTTGCCAATTAAAAACTCTTGGGAACCAGAATATGAACCAGTACTTAATCTTTAAACTTCTTTTATTCTTCCTTGTTATAAATCAATAAAATTTCAAATTTTCCTTTTTAAACTTAAAATATTCGATTTTATATTTCTCTATAATTATATAAAATTTCACCTAGCTGAGACTTTATAGGAATTTCTAAGAAAACTTCTTCTTGAAAAGTAGCAAATTTTTAAACACGTCTTTATAATATTTCCTAAAAAACCTACTCACAAAAACATTTGGAAACTAAATTGAGAAATTTATGTCCTTTTTAGTGACAAACATTTGAAAAAGAGTGTAAATATTCAAAATATTTGATATTATATAGATGTTTTCTTTTTAATTTTATAAATCATTACTTCGTTTTTTTATTATTTAAATAGAGATTTTTTTTGCTAATTTTTATAATATTTATATAATATCCCAAAAAATCCATAACAAACATTATTTTATATTTTTTTTATCTTTTAACTATTTTATTTAAAAAAAATATAGTATTTATCATTATAAATATTTTTTAATATAAATTAATAGGTAAAATATAACAAAATTCAACATTAAATATAGTTTTAAACAAAAAATATAAACAAGAAAAATATCTTTCAGTTCATTATGAGTCTTCAATCTTAAGTTTTTTTAACCATTTTTATTTATGAATGAAATCCGCATATACTTATATGCGCTACTATAAAAATCTATAAAATAAGTTTAAATACTTCATATGTAACTAGATATTTATATTATAATTGGAAATTTTTATTTATTTTATTTAATAATTAGCTTATTTTAAAAATTTTAATATCAGAGTATATAAATTTATTTACTTTTTTAAAAAAGCTATTATTATTAGTAATCAAGATTAATTCTTTTTTATAAAAACATTATTAAAATTTAATATCTACTATTATTTTGTATCTATATTAATAAAATGCTTCATTTATATTTATTAATTTTTTTAATAATTAAAATAATATATGTTTTAAAAAAAACATAAAAAAAATATATATAAAAAAAAAAATTAGAAAAGCTAAATTTTAAAGAAATAAATAAAATGAGAAAAACAATATCAAAAAAATTTAAAAATCTAAAATTTAAATAAAATTTTATTCAAATTAAAATAATTAAAAATGAGATATTGTATTAAATAAGATATGATTAATTAAAAATTTAAACTTATTTTATATATTTTATAAAAAAATATATATTTTATTTAGTGAAAATAACTAATTAATATTTAATTAATTTATCAAATTTAAGTTTATAAAGTATTATATTATATTAAAACATTTAGAAAAAAAAATTGTATTAAAAACTTAAAATTTATTTGTTCACATTAAAAAATAACAAAAAAATGAGAATGTTAATAATTAAAAATATTTATTATTAAGAATTTAAAAATTTCTTTTAAAATAAATAATTTATAAAAATATATTTTTTTAATAATAAAATATTTAATATTTATTATTATCTGTTGTTTTTATATTAAAAACAAAATCATAAATTCATTATTCTTTATATATATAATATTTAATATCTAATTAAAAATTGAATTGAAATTATTCAATTTATTATATGTATAATAATTAATAAAATATAATAAATTAAAAAACTCTAATATTAGTTTCTTTGAAGCATAAAATAAGATAATTAAAATTATTAAATATTTTTTCAGTTAATTAAATTAATTATTATAATTTTAGAAAGTTCTTTAAAAATATTATTATCAAGAAAATTAAATAAATAAATAAAATAAAATAATAAATAATAAATAATATTTAATATAAAAATATATTGTATAATAATTTAAAAATATAAAAAAAGAAACTCTAAATTTTTATAATAAGATAAGTAATATTTAATTTTAATTATATATTAATAGATTATAATTAAAGATATATAAAATATTTTTATAATAATCAAATAAAAATAATAAATTATTTATTATTTACTTATATATTTATTTATTTATTTATTATTATATTCTTTATTTTTTTTTTACCTTTTTTATTTAAATTTTTTTTTATAATTTATATTTTTTTTATTTTGTTTTGTTGTATTTTTTACTTTTATATAATATATATTTTTTTATATTTTAAATATTTTTTTTTAAAACAATATTATTTTTATAAATATATAAGTTTTATAAAATAATATATACTAAATTAATAATATATTATTGTAAATTTAGAACATATCTATTAATTACATTAGATTTTGTTAGACTACACAATAATTGTATAAAAGTTATTTAACTATCAATTAATTTTACTAATAATTTTAAGTAAAAATCTCAAATTGCAACGAACTATAAGAAATATTGAAAATATAAAAATTAATGAAAAAGCAGAATAAAAATGTATGTTAGAATTTTCAAAAAAGGTATTTTTTTTATTGACAAAACTCAAAATATTTTGAAAGAACGTTTAAAAAAAAGTAAAGTGAAAAATAATTGAACAAAAAATAGAAAAACCGAAAAACAAAAGGAAGAAAATACATAAAAAATTAAAAAACTGTTTTAATTTTTATGTCAAATGTTTATACTGGCATTCCTGTTTTTCATAAATAATAATATATATCTTTATAAATTTATAAAAACAATAAAAATTAATTTTGTTTTTTAATTATATTAATTATTTAATTAAATTATTATTAAATATATTTAATCTTATATTTTTAAAAATAAATTTTTTTATATAATTTTTTTAATAGTATAATTTAATATATATAATTTTTTTTTTTTATTTCTTATAAATATTTAAAAATATTAATTTTTTTATAAAATATATTATTTAATTAAATATAAATATTTCAAGAAAAAGATAATATATTTATAATATATTTTTATTAAAAAATAATTTAATAATTATATATATATTTTTTAAAAATAAAAGAAAATTAAATTAATAAAAAATATATAAAGATATAATTATATATAATTTGTATAAATTTATATATATAAATAAAATTTAAATAAAAATGAACAATAGAGAATATGATTATTTGTTTAAATTAGTAATAATTGGAAATTCAAGTGTAGGTAAATCATGTATTCTATTACGATTTAGCGATGAATAATTTAATGAATCATATTTAACAACAATAGGAGTTGATTTTCGTTTTAAGACTTTATAAATAGATGGAAAGTAAGTAAAATTACAAATATGGGATACAGCAGGATAAGAGCGATTCAGAACAATAACAAATGCTTATTATAAAGGTGCAGATGGCATAGTATTAGTATATGATATAACAAATAATTCATCTTTTGAGGATATAGACCGTTTTTGGTTAAATGAAGTAGAAAGTTATGCAGAGAAAGACGTAGAAATGTTACTTTTGGGAAACAAGGAGGATTTAAAAGAATAAAGATAAGTAGAGAAAAATGTAGTATAGGAATATGCAGAAAAAAAAAAATGGATTTATATGAAACATCAGCAAAAACAAATGAATGTATAGAAAAAGCATTCGTAGCAATTTCTAAAAGGTTAATGATAAAAAAAGATATATAAAACGCAGAAAAAAAAGGCTAAAAAAAGGAGACTAAAATTATACTTAGGGATAAAATAAAGAATTTTAACAATCTGAAAAATTAAATTTAGAAAAAAGATAGAAATAATAAAATAATAATAAAAAAAAATATGTGTAATTGTGTTGTAATAATTGAAAAAAAAATTAAAAAATATATGTAAATAATTTATATTTATATATAAAAAATGTGAGTATATTTATTTTTATATATTATATATATTATATATTTATATATTTATATATTTCTTTAATTATATATAATATATTTTACATATTTTGTTGTTTTTTTATAAAATTAATATATTCCTTCTAATAATAATATATTTTTTTTATTTTATAAAAGTCTTTTTTTTCAATTATTTTTTTCATCATAAAAATAGTATAATATAAAGTCTTCTAAAGAATATTATCTTTAATTTATTAATCTTAATATTTAATTGAAGAAAAAATAACAAAATACAATATATCCAGAGATTAATTTTAACCTATAGTATTTTAATATATTAAATTTTCAAAGAGATTAGCTTTCTCATTAAATTCGTAACGGAATTTCTTCTTTAATTAAATTAAGTAATTTTAATCAACTTAAAATTAATTAAAGCAAGGAACGATTAATTATTAATAATTATTTAATAATCCCATTTTATATAATTCTACTTCTTTTTAATCAAGTAAATAATTATCTTCATTTTATTAATTATTATCATTATTTTCAGTTTATTATATTTTTGAATAAGTTCTTTAAGTATAAGTATTAATTAAACTTTAGAAAAATTAAAATTATTCGTTAATAAGTCTAATATATTATTATTTTTTCTATTATATTTTAATAACTTCTTGTATATTTTTAAATTTAAATTATATTTATGATTTTTAAGTTTTTTCAATTTCATTTTCTTATTCTTTTATTTCTTAATTTGACAGTTTTTCTATTTAATTATCTTGATTATTCTCTTAATTTTAAATTTCTTATTTTTAATTTTAATCTTTTGATGAGATTTTTATTTATCCCTTTACTTCGAATATTTCAATTAAAATTTAATGAATAATTTTTGAATAAGCAACATATATTTTGTTATATTTTTTAATTATTTATTCATTAATTTAATCTTGAGTTATATTAAAATTTAATAATTCTTCATATTTTAATATTTGTTGTACTTCATTATTTTTATAACCATTTTATTTATGTATATTATTAATCAAATCTTCAATAATTTTCTTTTTTTAAAAAAAATCTCTTAAAATTACTTTTCCCTTTACTTATGAAAATGGCATTAATAAAATAAAATATTAACTAAATAAAACTGGTTTTATATTCAAATTCAATTTAATAATTAATTTATTTTAAATTAGAATTAAAAATTATAGTAATGAATTATTCAATCAAATTAATTCTCGATTCTTTTACAATATCATAAAAATTTCTTATATTGTTAAGACATTAAACTATAATTAGATTAAAATTATTAATTAAAAGTTAATTATTTTTGTATTAGAAACCATATTGATTAAAATTAAACTAAAAGAGTATTAATTATATGACTTTAATATTAAAATCATAATATTATTAGATTTATTCATCATTTTAATTTAATTTAATTAAGATAAAATTTTATTTGATAAATTTAATAAATACAATAAAGTATCCCAAACATTAAACTTTGAATTATTATTTAAAATGAGTTCATAATTATAATTAAGTGAATTTAAATATTCTTTAAAACTAAAAAAATAAATTTATTATAAATCCTTGTTTCGTTTATTTTATTTGCATATGATTCTAAAATTTAATTCAATAAAATAACTAAATTTTAATTATCATATTTTTTTTTACATAATTAAAACAATTCTTTAAAATTAAATCGAAAGTATAAATTTTAAACCCATTATTAATAGAACTATTTTATTATAAAATATTACATGTTTCCAAGAAATTATAATTATATTATATTTCACCTTCGTTTTCTCTAATAACATTATAAAGTAAAAAGCTAATTTTTTAAATAAATAAAATTAGTATTATTTCATATATTAATCTAAACTATTTTAATTATTCCATTCTTCAATTTCTGTTTATTTTTAGTTTTCTAATTTGTCTTGTAATTATTATAATTCCTATTCATTTATCATTACTTTTTTAAAATTCACTTAATTGTTAACATATTTTATTGTTTTGTTCTAATTAAAATTTAAATTGATAAATTAAATAGTCGCCTTTAATAAAAAGATTAAAAAGTTTTTTATTTTGGAAGATGATTTTAATCCTTAAATACCTTCATTAAGTAAATAGTTTATAAGTTTTTAAATTTAAAAATTCTATTCCTTATATAATAAAATTTTTATATTTCTAATATCATTTGATGTGTCTAAATTCGTGATAATTTAAACATTTTAAATGACCAAATTTACAATGTTTTTTATTAATTAATTTTAATAATCATATCCATTATTAAATTCTGAATTTAATTTTAGAATATTTAAAATAAATAATGTTTTTATATAATCTAGAAATTTTTCATATGTTGAATCTTCTTCTTTTTAAAAAATACAATAATTCCATAAAATCTCAAAATATTTAATTTAGTTGCTTAAAATATACTCAAATATTATTCGGCAGACAATTTACTATTATTTTTTTTCATTATCATCTTGATTTTTATTCTATTATTATAAAAATTTTATTAGATAATTATTTAAAGATATGAGAATATTGACCAAAACTGAAAAGTTTGTAATATGATATTTTTCTTTGTTATTAGACTAAGATTTTTTGAAAATTTTATAATTAATTTACCAGTATATATTTGAATATTACAAAAATCCTTAAATAGAAAAATCATCAAAACTTTTAGTTAAATTTATCAATAAATTTTGAATAAAATTTATCAAAAATAAACGGAAAATAATTTTATGTTTTAAATAAGTTATTTAATTATGAACAAAATTTAAAATTTAATTTAAAAAATTAATCTTTAATTTAACTGTAAAATTTTTTATAAAACTATAAACTATCTTTTTACAATAAATCTTCTGTTGAATTAACTTTCAAATATTCTGATTATAATTTACCAATAAAATTACATTCTTATAAAATATCATAAGGT